TTGCACTTGCTCTGAATCACACTCAGGAGCCATGACTTGTCATATTTTCTGCCATAGGGAATCTAGATGAGAGAGAGAGAGAGAGAAGGGAACAATATGGAGCGAAGGCTGACCAGCAGACCCATCTAGCGCTCCTTTCACACCTTCTGCCAACTTTCACAACATTTCCTGAAGGACGGGCCAGTTAAAAGTTTTTTTTATTCAAGTCAGACTCCCTATCCTCCTTTCTGTCCATTTAACTTAGTATTCCTCAAGAAAATAAAATTTTTTGGTTCTAAAAGTTTCAAGATATGATTCAGACATGGTCCGCCCCTCAGAGGACTTAAGAAGCCCCAAGCCCCACACTCGGCTTGAGCCACACGGAGACATTCAGAGGAGCTCCTCTACCTCCCAACCAGTCAATCATGTTTTCTTTTACATGGGGCTCCCCGCCCCGATCCTGCTTGTCCTCTTCTACGCCTTTCCTGAACCTGCTCTTAGATGTTCTAGGAGGAAGGATGGACACCTGACTGTGGAGAAAACAGCGGAGAAGACTGATTTTGTCATGTGAAAAGTAAAGACCTTCACTCTGAGCCCAGAGTCTCTCTCTCCCCCCTCTCTCCCTTGCAGCATCTACTTCCCCAGACACTCACTGTAATCTTTTTTTTTAGGGGGGGAGGGGCAGAGGGAGGGAGGGGGGGAGGGAGAGAGAGAGAGAGAGAGAGAGAAAGAGAGAGAGAGAGAATCTCAAGCTGGCTCCAGGCCCAGCACAGAGATGACACAGGACTCCATCTCATGACCTTGAGATCATGACCTGAGCTGAAATCAAGAGTCGGACGGACACTTAACCGACTGAGGCCCGCAGGTGCCCCAGACACTCACTGTAATCTTAAACCAGTTTCTCGAGGCCCCGTCCTGACTGGTACCAGCGCCTCCTCTCTCTGGAAGAGCCCTGTCTCTCCGCACAGTAACATGAATGCGATCTCGATCATGCCAACTGTCACCTCGACGGTTGGGTCGGGAAGGGTAGGGGTTGCTGTGGGGAAGCAGAGAATAAAATGTCCACAAACACCAGGAAAGTCTTCTCAAAGGCTTCCCACACTGCTGTCAGGATTGCAGCTAAGACTGTTCACCCATTAAGCTGGCCCTGGCATCTCTCACTTGTACAGGTGTGAAGAGAAATGGCGTGGGCAGTAGAGAGCTAAATAAATAAATAAATGGGTCACTAAAATCAAACCAGACCAACTAGTCACTTACTGTCGTATTCGGGGAACATCCTGGGCATCACTCATTGCCACATCTCTGTCATCTTCCTCCAGGCGGGAAGACCGGATGCCGGAACCTCCTCTTCCAGACCTACGGTTCCCCTCACCATATTTCCACCGGAAAGGACCCCGGCCTTTCTTTCTTCTTTGAGGGAAACTAACACGGTCATCGTGCTCTGGGGTTAAAAACGACATCAATTAGAAAACACGCTGCTAGTCCAGCTACCCTGCTGTGGCAGTCACAGCTCCAGCAGCCTGTGCTATAGAATGACATACACACCAACTACGAAGCCCATTTCCACGCAAACTTCTGTCTGTTGAGAGAGAGAACCCTCTCTGTGGCATGGCAGCATGAGGGAAACATTACTGGAAGACAGCATAGGGCTTTGGAAAAATGAGTCAGAAACTGGAACTTACAGAGAGGAGAAGTACAATGTGGAAGTGTGAGCAGAATATGGACTCAGTGTGCAACTGAAAAGTCACCTGAAATCTGTTTGCCCTTGGCCTCCCAAATCTATTTAACCCCTCTCAGAATCTGGATGGGGACCTCTCTCACATCTCCTAAAATTAATCAATCACAATGATCATATCAGCTTTCAGTAAACAGTGCTTCCTTTGCCTACAGAGTACAAACGTCATACAGTTATAAATATCATCACTTTAAGGGCTTCTTTAAAACTTTTTTTTTTTGGCTTCTTTAAAACTCTTTAAAAAAAAAGATTTTATTTATTTATTTGACAGAGAGAGACACAGCGAGAGAGGGAACACAAGCAGGGGAAGTGGGAGAGGGAGAAGCAGGCTTCCCGCTTCTGAGTCAAGTCATGGTCCCGGGGTCCTCGCATCGAGCCCCGCATCGGGCTCCCTGCTCCGCGGGAAGCCTGCTTCTCCCTCTCCCACTTCCCCTGCTTGTGTTCCCTCTCTCGCTGTGTCTCTCTCTGTCAAATAAATAAATGAAATCTTTAGAAAAAAAAAATTCTTGTTCTCAAACTGACACACTGAAGTTTTGGGAGTGCGCTCTTTATTTCCTTGGCCAGAAATGCCTTAAAAAAAAAAAAAGATTTTATTTATTTACTAGAGAGGGAGAGAAAGACAGCGCACAAGTAGGTGGGGCAGCAGGGAGTGTGAGAAGCGGGCTCCCCACTGAGCATAGAGCCCGACATGGGGCTCTATCCCAGGACTCTGGGATCATGACCTGAGCCAAAGGCAGATGCTGACTGAACCAAGTGAGCCACACAGGCACCCCCAGAAATGCCTTTTAACTGAGTCAACTCTCCTTGACTGCTCTCCAGGAACAGGACCCTCTGAATCCTCTGTAGGAATGGCTTCTAAAAAAAAGGTCTATGACTCCCAAAAAGGTCTGCCTCATGCCAGCACTCTGCAAACAATGAACCTTAAGAAATGACCATAGGGGAAAAACAAACAAACAAACAAACAACTGAAGAGCAGGCACAGCTAATATATACTGAGAACTTTCTCCAGGGCCAGGCACTATGCTCCAGGCACTTGATGTGAATAAACTCGTTTAACATACACAAGAGCAAACTTAGGAAGTAATTACAATCGCTACCTTCTTAGGAAAATAGAAAAATGAGGCCTGGGAGTGGAATTCACTCAAGCTTGGGGAAGACAACTCTGGACTCAAACCTCAGCTGTCATGTGCTCCTAACCACTCCTCTGGACAAAAACCCTGCGTAGTGTTCGGATACGGCGCGTTGATGTGGAGGTTTAAAATATTAAAGCCAAAACCAAGGCCGCAGGGGAGGCGGGGCAAGAGACTGGACGCGGTGGAAAATAAGACACAGGTAGCCGATGAGCAGGGCACTGACTCACATTAAAGAAAGTCTGGACGCCAAACTGAACTGACAGGCATCAACCACCCACAAAGTTCAAAGGAATCTCGCCACCCCACCGCCAGGCCGCCTGCTCCGAGCCGAAGCTCCTCGCAACGCCAGGATTCCCGCGTCAACACGTCGGGCTCCCAGCCTCGAGTGCGGCCGGGCCCGCGGGGGGACTTGCCCCCGGCCCGCGCCGCCGACGCACGCCGCGGACGCCCGGCCTCTCGCGGCCTCCCGCCCCGGGGCTGCGGCCTAGGCCGGCGCCGCCCACTGGGCCCCAGATCATCTCGCTCCCTGCCCTGAGCGCCAGCACTGACCGTTGTAGGACTTCCCCTCGTCCGCCATGGCACAGCGAGAAGCAGGGCCGGCTCAGGCGCGGGCCGCAACGCCACCAAACGTCCGAACGCCCAAAAGCGCCCCGGCCGAAGCGCTCCTACGCCCGGCGCCACCGCATTTATTCTGCGAACTACGTCGCGCGCCGCCGACGTCCCCCGGTGGTGGGCGGTGCCGCCTGAGGAGCGCGGCCCCCTACGCGTGCGCACTCGGCTGGCAGCCGCGCTGGGGGCGGGGCTCAGCCGCTCCTAATCCCGCCAGAGACCTGCGCTCGCCCAGCTACTCCCGGGTCGGGGCCGGCCCGCCCCGCCGCCTTTCTTCGGTTGGTCGCTACGCCAGCACCCCCGGGGCTAGCGCTGGAGCAAAGAGCAAGCTGCTGCAGCCCAAGTCTCCGAGACGAATGGGGAAGGGGGTCGCACGAAGGGCTTCCGAGGAAGGGGAAACCCGGGCCTTGGAGCGGGAGTGATGGTTCTTAGACCCCCTAGCGTTATACAGCCAGTATTGAATCTCTCAGCCCAGCCCTTTTGCCAGCAGCCAATATATGCCACTCTTTCTTCGTCTGTAAGATGGATTATCAGGCAACAGAAAACTAGAACGTAAACCCCAAGAGAGCAGGGACGTTCACTAATTCGTGACTTTTCTCCAGCTCCTGGCTCAGTACACTGCCTGGCATGTACCAAGAACTCAACAAACACTTGGGAAATAAATGAATTTCCGATCTATGCAACCCCCAAGAAGAGCTGCCATGTCAAACGAACAGACCATTTTTCTAGCTTTCACGAGCAATTGTCTTCACAACCTCCCCACCCACCACTGAGGTGCTGTACCGGAACTACAGCTTGTGTCAGTTGGGCAGTGAAGATGCAAGCAAGACCACCTGCTGACCAGAGGCCTGGGAGAGAGGAAATAGTAAAATGCCTGGGCTAGAAAAGACAGAGGTTCTCCTAGACTGCCCCCCGCTCCGCTCAACCCCCGCCCCTCGAAGTTCTAGGGTCAGCTTTCAGAGTTGTGATTGTTCTCTCTGTAGCTTGAACTTCCTCTAGGGTGTGTGAGATGTGGGGGGACCCCAGTAACTTCAAAATAACACCAAGAAGTGTATTAACCTCCCTGGAGGGTGGGCATTCCAGGCAGGTTTCTCCTCCATCCTCCTGTGACTGGCTTGGATTTGGTGAGGGGCTTGGAGGGGACCAAGAGCCTCAGCTGGAGCTGGGAACAAGTTCTTCACCTTTCACTCCTGGCAGCAGGCAGAGCTCCTGTGTCATCCAGCTCAAGGAAAAATGGGGGCCAGCTGGTTGAAGCATGCAGCTGAAACAGGTACAAATACTGCTGGAGTTGATCCTGGAAGTTGCCACCACTCAGGGACCCATTCTGGGGTCATGCTTCCCCCTCTGAAGGGAAGTTTCCATGCTCATGAAGTGCTGCTGCACCTGGGTATTCCCTGCCCGGAGGCAGCTGTGTGCACAGGGCCCAAAGCTTGGCCCTTAGAGCCATCAGCCCAGCCTCTCAGTTCTGGTACCGGGCAGTGCGCTCACTCCACTGGCTGTGAAGGCCCTTCGACGCTCCCACCCAGAAATGACGACATGGCTAGTGAGGCTGACAGTCTTGCTGTAATTGGGAGAAAATGGGCTGCAGTGCATTTGGCAGATTGAGAGTCACCAGCAGCCAAAGTTGGGGTTGTGCAGGCAGCCAAGGGGCTCAGGGCCCCCTGCCTCACGTGGTGGAAAGAGGAAGAAAGAGGTCAAATTCTAACCCAGATGGGAAAGTTGGTCCCGGGGGCGTGGGGGGGGGGGCAATTTCACTTCCTCTCCTCACTCTCAGGAAGGTGGGAAAGGGCATCATCTCCCCTTGCTGCCAAAGTTTCCTTTGGAAGAGGCTGGGGAGTTTCTAAAAATCTCCTACCTAGTGGAGACAACCTCCCCCACTACCCCCGGGTTGGCTTCTGCTCCCTTCCAGCCACCTCACAGCAGAGTACAAATCCAGAACCGTGTGTGTTTCGAGGGCCTGAGGGCGGTGAGGGGAGGACAGGGTGGCCAGAGGCAAAGGGTCAGGGGTCAGGGTCAGTGGCCATTCTCAGCAGTTCCAGGGAAACAGGGCCTTTCTCCCAAGCACCCTGCATAGGCTCAGTGGCAGCACTGGCCACCTGCCCTACCAAAGGGGTTCCAAACCCCCACGGAGTGCCTCAGAGTGGAGAGGGTTCAGGCAAGGAAGACCACAAAGATGATGAAGAAGACAATGAGGATGAGGAAGATTTTGACCATGAGCCACCGGTTCGAGGTGACCGACTGGAAGTACTTGAGGATCTCTGAATGGGCAGCCTCAACATCCAGCTGGGCTCCCAGCACATTCTCGTCGATCCTAGGGATAGGGCCGAAAGAAGAGGAAACAGAAGGACGCTGGATTAAAAAGAATGCTGTTGAAGTAGACTTACCAACATGAAAAGATGGTCATAATATATGGGGGTAAAAAATATTTTACATACAATACGATCCCATTTTTGTGCATATATGCTTGTATATAGGAAAAGCTCTGGAAGGGTAACACAAACAAGTCTTGGCTCTGGTTTGAAGATCAGCTCTGCAACTTATTAGCTTGTGATTCTGAGCCAGTCATTTACCCTCCAGACTCACTTTCTTCAACTGCAAAGGAGGGAAAATGAGGATAACCCCAACCCTACATCTCTGGTTGTTGTCAGCCTCAAAGGAGTTAACAAACACAAAGTGCCCAACCCACACTAAGAGCCCCCAAAATGTTAGCTATTATAATTTTTTGCTCGTCTTTATTGATTTTTGTCTAATAAATAATATTGCATTTGTAATACAGGAGAAAACGCTCACAGACCATTACAGTCAGGAAATCCCAGTTCTGAGACAGGAAGAAAAACTTAATGATATGGACAGGAAGTCAGGAGGCAAGAAAAACCGTACAATTAAGAAAACATGTTTCTCCAGGGTACAGAGAAGTCCTCAAAGAAAGGGCCATCTCGGGGCGCCTGGGTGGCTCAGTAATTAAGCATCTGCCTTCCGCTCGGGTCATGATCTCAGGGTCCCGGGATCGAGCCCCACATCGGGCTCCCTGCTCAGTGGGAGGCCCGCTTCTCCCTCTCCCACTCCCCCTGCTGTGTTCCCTCTCCCACTGTCTCTCTCTCTCTGTCAAATAAATAAGTAAAATCTTTATTTATTTTATTATTTATTTTAAAGATGTTTTTATTTATTTGACAGAGAGAGAGACAGCGAGAGAGGGAACACAAGCAGGGGCAGTGGGAGAGGGAGAAGCAGGCTTCCGGCTGAGCAGAAAGCCTGATGCGGGGCTTGATCCCAGGACCCTGGGATCATGACCCGAGCCGAAGGCAGATGCTTAACGACTGAGCCACCCGGGCGCCCCATAAATAAAATCTTAAAAAAAAAAAAAGAAAGGGCCATCTCTTGAGAGACTCCTGAGGAAAATAAAACATTTCCTGGCCACGCTGCATATGCAATCCTGAAAACCCAATACAAATCCTGGCCTTTGCAAAGGGAGGCCCTGGGAGCAGAGACTGCGGTGAGCTGTGAGGACAGAAAAGCTGGGAGCCTGGTAATCCAGCTGGAACAGGAAAGGAAAGCCTGGACCAGTGGCTGCAAGCCCCAGGTCCTCAGAAGGTTGTCATGGGGCCTGCGAACTACTCTCTGTCCAAATACAGGAGCCCAGGGGCGCCTGGCTGGCTCAGTCAGAAGAGCATGCCACTCTTGGGGCACCTGGGTGACTCAGTCAGTTGAGCTGCTGACTCTTTTTTTTTTTTTTAAAGATTTTATTTATTTGACAGAGAGAGACACAGCGAGAGAGGGAACACAAGCAGGGGGAGTGGGAGAGGAAGCAGGCTTCCCGCTGAGCGAGGAGCCCGATGCGGGGCTCGATCCCAGGACCCCGGGATCATGACCCGAGCTGAAGGCAGATGCTTAACGACTGAGCCACCCAGGCGCCCCGAGCTTCCGACTCTTGGTTGTGGATCAGGTCATGATCTCCAGGTCCTGGGGTTGAGCCCTGGTCAGGCTCCATGCTCGGTGGGGTGTCTATTGAGACACTCTCTCTCTCTCCCTCTGCCCCTCCACCTGCTTGCATTCTCTCTCATGAATAAATAAATCTTTTTTTTTTAAGATTTTATTTATGGGGCGCCTGGGTGGCTCAGTCATTAAGCGTCTGCCTCCGGCTCAGGTCATGATCCCAAGATCCCCGCATCGGGCTCCCCGCTCCGCGGGAAACCTGCTTCTCCCTCTCCCACTCCCCCTGCTTGTGTTCCCTTTCGCTGTCTCTCTCTGTCAAGCAAATAAATTAACTATTTAAAAAAATATATTTATTTATTTTAGAGAGACGGGGGAGGGGGGCAGGGAGAGGAGAGAGAGAATCTGAAGCTGACTCCCCACTGAGCATGAAGCCTGATGCCGGGCTTGATCTCACAACAGGAGATCATGACCCAAGCTGAAACCAAGAGTCAGACGCTTAACAACTGAGCCACCCAGGCACCCCAAATAAATAAATCTTTAAAAAAAAAAATGGAAGAGCACGCGACTCTTGATCTCAGGGTCATAGGTTCGAGCCCACGTTAGGTATAGAGATTAAATAAGTAAATAAACTTAAAAATTTTTTCAACTACAGGAGCCTGGACTGTACATGATTCCCTATTTGTGTCAGAGTGGCTAACTAAAGTATCAGGTTTCCTATCTTTGGGCTGTAATTTCATTTCTTAGTGTGGGTGCAACTGTCATTTCATACCCAAGAAAGCAACTGTCATTTCATACCCATACTTTCTTGGGTATGAAATCATGAATGGCTTTGCTTAACAAAAACGGATACACAGTAAATGCAGTCTGGCATAAGAAAGATTTTAAATGAGAATCCATGAATGAAAACTAAAAGGAGGGAACTCGGGGTGGGGCGGGGGATTAGGGATCCGTGGGACACTCACAATAGTGTGGAGCAGAAGACAGAATGGGGTGGGGTGGGGCAGAAAATGTGGCTTGGAAAGGAGAAGGCTGAAGAAAACAGGGAAAAGCCATGGTGAAGAGGATGAAGGCATGTCTTATGGAGAGAAAGTAAAATTATAGAGGGAAGGAATCAAGCATTAAGAAGCTAGAGTCTCCGGGAGCCTGGGGGGCTTAGTTGGTTAAGCATCTGCCTTCGGCTCAGGTCATGATCCCAGGGTCCTGGGATCAAGCCCCCACATCGAGCTCCCTGCTCAGTGGATAATCTGCTTCTCCCTTTCTTTCTCCCTCTGCCTCTCCCCCTCCTCATGCTTGTCCTCTCTCTCAAATAAAATCTTAAAAAAAAAAGAAGAAGCTGGAGTCTCAGGGTGCCTAGACGGTGCAGTCGGTTAAGTGTCTGACTCCTGACTTCTGTTCAGGTCATGATCTCAGGGTTGTGAGACTAAGCCCTGAATCGGGCTCCCCACTCAGCTTGGAGTCTGCCTGTCCTTCTCCCACCCTCTCAGCCCCTCCCACCACCCCTGCACGTGCGCGCATGCGTGAGCGCTCTCTCTCTCTCTCTCTCAAATAAATAAATCTAAAAAAAAAAAAAAGGAGCGCCACGTGGCCAGGTTTAGGAAATCTGACTGTAATGAAAAATAATGATGGTAATGGATTACAATACATCGGATATGAAAAAAATCCATTATTCCTAGTAATGTTTTTTTTTTAACGATTTTATTTATTTATTTGACAGAGAGAGACACAGCAAGAGAGAGAACACAAGCAGGGGGAGTGGAAGAGGGAGAAGCAGGCCTCCCGCTGAGCAGGGAGCCCGATGCTGAGCTCGATCCCAGGACCCTGGGATCTGCCGAAGGCAGACACTCAACCAACTGAGCCACCCAGGCGTCCCTATTCCTAGTAATGTTTAAAGAGAGAAGGCTCCTGCTTTACAGAAGGATGCCAGCTAATAAATGTAGAAGGGATGAAATAGGAAACTGCCACTTGGCCACACACAAAGTCACGAATGAATCAGGCAAGGACCATCACGGGTCTAAGGAGCTTGACGTTCACATGGACTTGAAGCGTCACTCCACAGATGACTTAGTTGTATGGTCACCACATTAAACAAGTTACCAAACTTGGCATCACCAATAAAAGGATAACCTCAAGTGCCTACTGATAATAATCACCTATGTAGCTGGCCAACAATCTATAACCTAGATCTGATGACAAGGAAACACTGGACAAATACACATGCAGGACTTTCTACAAGAGGCACCGGCCTCTTCGAAGAAAAGTCAATGTCACGAGAAGCAAAACAGAAGGCAGACTTGGAGACATAACAAATGCCACGTGTGACTACTGCCTGGGTCTTAAATTCAAGGAAAAAAAGCTAAAAGCACTTTTTTGGGAACAGCTGGGGAAATTTCAGTATGGACTAAGTACCGGGTAATGACAGAGAATTGTTTATTTTCTTAGGTCTGATAATGGCATCGTGGCTGTTCAGGAGAATACCAATTCTGGGCAGGTGTGTGCTGAAGTCTTTAGGGATAAAAATGTCATGACCTTTGCGCTTTCAAATGGTTCAGAGAAAAAAAAAAAGAGGGAAAGCCAATGTGAGAAAATATTAAGCGGGCAAATCTGGGTGAAAGGAACATAGTTGTTCATTTGTACGATCCTCTCAACTTTTCTAAATGTTGTTGTTTTTTTTTTTTAAGATTTTGTTTGACAGCAAGAGAGCACAGGCACAGGCGGAGGGGCACAGAGGGAGAAGCAGCCTCCCCGCTGAGCAGGGAGCCTGATGTGGGGCTCGATCCCAGGACCCCAGGATCATGACCCGAGCCAAAGCCAGTCGCTTAACCAACTGAGCCACCCAGGTGTCCCCCTCTCAACTTTTCTAGTTAGAAATTTTGTAATTTACAAATTGGGGTGCAAACGGAAACGAAGGAGTAACAGATCAGCAGTTTTCATACCTTAGAAAAAATAAGAATCACCTGTTGAGCATCCCCAAAACGCAAATTCTCACGTCTCCTATTCAGAAAGTCTAGGATGGGGCCCAGGAATCTACATACTGAAGAACTTTGGACTAAATCAGTGGTTTCTAAAGAGGGTGCTCAAATTTTGATCCACTGGCGTGCAGGAAGCAAATAGAAGGTCTATTTAAAAAATTTCATCCTTGGGTTGGGGGCGGGGGGGTGCCTGCTCAGTGGGGAGTCTATGTCCCTCTCCCTCTGCCCCTGCCTCCCTCATGTGCATGCGCTCTCTCAAATAAATAAGATCTTTTAAAAAAATAAATACAATAATAATTTCATCCTTTCAAAATCTCAATTTCTTGTACATATAGTTGCCCACAACTTTTCTCTCTTTTGTTACTTCCCTTTTGTGTTTCCAATCCTCTGTAAAATTGCTTCTGAACCATTCAACTGAAGTTGCTGCACTGATCCAATTAATTCCAG